CGGTCTCGATCGGACTACGCCACTGTGACGCGCGGGGCCGCGATTATGTAAAGCGCAGTCACGCGGGGGCGCCGCCTGAAGCGAGCGTCTTCCGACCGGGGATCGCGGAAGCTCTCTCGCTCCGCCCACTTTCCCCCTGCGGTCCCGCCTTCGCCCCGCCTCTCCTGGGCCTCGCGCTCGTCAATGTTTCTCGCGATACTCCGTGGAGTTGTGATGTTTCGGGTTGCCATGGTGCTTCCCGCTAGCCGGAAGAGGGCGGGATTGGGGTGACAGTTTGCAAGGTCGGATTGGAACTCCGAGGCCACCCTGAGTTTGAACCAGGTGGGCAGCCAAGAGGGGGACTCTGTACTCGGAGCAGGCGAGTCTGCTCAGCCCTCTGAGAGGGACACAGGATATTAAGATGAGTGTCCTCAATGGGCTGGAGAGATGGCACCGAGTGACGGCTGCTCTTACAGAGGAGTTTGGTTCCCAGCACCCACATCTGGTGTCTCAAATCAACTGTAACTCTAGCAGCAAGGGTTCCCGATGCCTCTGAACTCTGCAGGCACCTGCACTCACTTGCATTTACAGATATTCATACACCAAATAAAATGCAATAGAAAAAAGAGGGTAAAAGCATTGACTGTTCTTCCAGAGGTCCGGGGTTCAATTCCCAGCAACCCCATGGTGGCTTCCAACCATCTGTAAGGAGATCTGGTGCCCTCTCTGGTCTGCAGGTATACATGTAGGCAGAACACTGTATACCTGATAAATAAATAAATCTTAACAAAAAGAAAGAAAAAAGATTTCGAGTCATGTAAACATGGCCTCCATCCTTACAAGGCATATGCTTTTTCAGATGCCAGCCTGTGTGTCCCTGATGTCTCTTAATTCTAGCGCCAGATATCCACTGTTTGACCATTTTACAACTGTCCACCCTTTTCATCAGACTTCTCTGGAAATATCTGTTTGAGTCATTTCTGTCTCTGCCTCACTTAATACAGAGCTAACTGAGCTATCCATTCACCACTGCCTAGAATGTATGAAACTGGATTTGGTTTGATAAGGAAAGGGGGTAGGGCATAGGTATAGAGAGGAAGGAAAGGAAAAGAAAATATCAATAATCATTCATATAATAAACCTTTTTAAAGATGTATGCATGCATGCATGCATGTACTTGGTTTTCTGAGACAGGCTTCACTGTGTAGCCTTGGTTGTCCTGGAAGTTGCTCTATAGACCAGGCTGGTCTCAAACTCAGAGATCTGCCTGAGTGCTGACATTAAAGGCATGTGCCATCACCACCTGGATAGTTATTTTATTTTGAATTATATGTGGGTGAGTATGTGCACATGACTGCAGTGTCTATCAAGGACATAGGGATTCTCCTGGAGCTGGAGTCACAGGCAGTTGTAAGCTGCTTGACCCAAACTAGGGTCCTTTGCAAGAACAGTATGCACTCAACCACTGTGCCATAGCTCTGGTCCCTCACTGAATAATTGTTTCTTGAGTATTAATATGAGACAATTCTGGCTTAGGCACACAGGCAATAAAACATGATCATCAGACAGTGGTGGCACACACCCTTAATCCCAGTACTTGGGAGACAGAGGCAGAGGCAGGCCCATCTCTGTGAGTTCCAGGCCAGCCTGGTCTACAGAACAAGTTCCAGGACAGCCAGAGCTACACAGAGAACAATTTAGCCTCATAATTTAGCTGAGAATATTCCAGGTAGAGAGCATGGGGAAGACCTTGAGGTGGAATAGAGCATGGTGAAAAAAAAAAAGAGAGAAAAGACCCATCCATCTGTGCCTTAGTGGAGAAGAGGAACAGAAAAGATGCCTGAAGAATTGGCAGGGGACAGGTGTGCAGCCCCATAGAACCCATACAGATTTTGATCATAGTGGAACATACAAAAGACAATGGAAAAGAATTTATTGGCAGGTTTTAAGCAAGGAAGTAATATGATTGAGTTTATCTTCTCAAAATATTCATCTGAGGGGCTGCAGGGATGTCTCAGCAGGTAAGAGCACTTGTGGCTCTTACAGAAGACTCAACACATTCATGGTGTTGTAACCATTTGTAAGCCTCAGATCCAGGGGAGTCAACAGGCATACAATTGGTACATATACATGCAGGCAGACAAAATATTCACATATAAAAAGTAAGCCTGAATTTTTTTAAAAGATTTATCTGAGACAGAGGCAGGATTAATACAGGTTTCAGGTTTCTCTGGTCTATGTAGCTGGATCCAGGCCAGTGGAGGCTAACACACAAAAACACAAGAGGTTAGAGGTGTAGCTATGTTAGTAAAGTGTTTGTGCAGAATTCATGATGCCCTGGGTTCCGATCCACACACTGCATAAAACTAGGTATAGTGATGCACACCTATAATCTCAGCACTTAGGAGGTGGAGGCAAGAGAATTAGAATTTCAAGATGACCCTCCTTTGCACAGTGAATCCCAGGTTAGTTTGGCATCCATGAGACCTTGTATGGCAACAAGGAAGAGGACAGATGCCCCAGGCTGGAATAAATTCCTAGCTGTCACTTTAGGAGTCTCTTGCAGTTATCTAGGCTAGAGGTGATGGTTTAAAGTGGAGAAAAGGGAAGGACTCAAGACACATGTGGTGTTAAGAATCAGCAGGATATACAATGGATTCCATTTGGGAGGGAAGGGAAGACATGGTGGTCAACATGCCCATCTCTGTGCTGTGATACTTCCGGCAAAGGTGACTTTCAGTGCCAAAACCCAAAATGATTTTGATATATTAAGTTCTAGATCCACATGGGACGCCCATAGGGAGACACAATCTAGTTAGTAGATTCTTTTATTTGTTTTGTTTGTTGAGGGTTGTTTTGTTTTTTAAGACAGGGTTTCTCTATAGCTTTGGAGCCTGTCCTGAAACTCACTCTGTAGACCATACTAACCTCAAACTCACAGAGATCCGCCTACCTCTGCCTCCCAAGTGCTTAAGATTTTATTTATTTTATATGTGTATGAGTGTTTTGCTTACATGTATGTAAGTGCATCATGTGGGTGCCTCGTCCCCAAGGAGACCAGAAGATGATGTTGGATCCCCTAGAACCAAAGCTACAATAATCTCTGAGCCACCTCATGGGTGCTGAGAATTGCACCTGGGTCCTTTGCTAGAACAATAAGTACTTTAAACTTCTGAGCTGTCTCTCCAGCTCCAGTTCATGGGCTCTTTAAATCTCTTAGAAGTGTGAGATGAAGATGGAAGGGTTTGTTTTTGATTTCTTCACTACTAGGGACCAAGCCCTAGTGTAGAAAGGATGTACTCAACCCTTTTAGTACATCCCCAGCCAGGAAAATCATTGGTGTGTGTGTGTGTGTGTGTGTGTGTGTGTGTGTGTGTGTGGAGGCAGGATCTCATGTATTCCAGGCACACCTCAAACTCTCCATGAAGTCAAAAATGACCTCTGAGTCAGATGGTGGTGGCACACTTGGGAGGCAGAGGCAGTCCAATCTACAAAGTGAGTTCCAGGGCAGCCAGAGCTGTTACACAGAGAAATCCTGTCTCAAAAAAAGCAAAACAACAGCAAAAGATCACCTGCGATTCTCCTGACTCACCTTCTAAGTACTGAAACCACAGGCCTTAGTCACTATGTTCAGTTTATATGGTACGTGGGATCAAACCTAGGGCTTCATGCCTGCTAGGCAGTGTCCCTCCACTGAGCTACATTCCCAGTCTTTGTTTTTAATTTGCATGGGTATTTTGCCTGCATGGATGTGTGCCTACACACCATATGTTTTCCTGGTTTCTAGAAGACCAGAAGAGGATGATGGCTCCCCTGAAGTTACAGACAGTTGTGAGCCACCATATTCATGCTGGAACTCAAACCTGAATCCTTTGTGAAGACAAGTACTCTAAACTGCTGAGCCATCTCTCTAGCCCTTGAAAGACAGAGTTTTGAGGGAATTATCAATCTGCATATGGAATTTAATGTCCTGACCCTGGATATAACCTTGATTTTTTTTTTTTGAGACAGGGTTTCTCTGCATAGCTTCAGAGCCTATTCTGGCACTCGCTCTGGAGACCAGGCTGGCCTCAAACTCACAGAGATCTGACTGCCTCTGCCTCCTGAATGCTGGGATTAAAGGCATGAGCCACCAACGCCCAGCTGGATATGACCTTGAAATCATAGAAGAAAGACCCTTTTGTGAGGCAAAAGAAAGCCCATCCAACAGCAAAAGAACCAGTTAGAAAAGAGATAACCACAGAGGAGCCATAAGTAGGAAAATGCAGAAAGGGGCTAGAGAGATGATGGCTCAGCAGTTAAGAGCAATGGCTGCTCTTCCAGAGGCCCCGGGTTCAATTCCCAGCACCCACATGGCAGCCCACAACTGCTTGTAACACTAGTTCCAGGGCATCTGACACCTTCACACCAATATACATAAGATAAATTTTTAAATAAAGAAGATGCAAAAAGAGAGGGTATTGGTTTTACAGAGCCCAAGAGGCATTAAACCCTCCCTCAGAACAACAAAACAAAAGATAGATCAGAGTCCAAGAGAAGAGCAAGAGACACCAGTCATTCTTGTTAACAGCTACTTGGAGGCTGAACCAGCCTTGCCTGTATTTGCTAAATGTCTAGGCTCACAAAACTTGACCTTGGACCCATCATGTCTTCCTTTGTGTCTTGTTGTGTCTTGAAACTGGGTTTCACTGGCTGGCCTGAAACTTGCTCTTTAGACCAGGCTGGCCTCTAACACAAAGATCGGCCTGCCTCTTTATTTTCCTGTATGGTGGAACTCAAAGTGTATGCTACCACTCTCAGTCTGTGTCTTTAGCAGCAATGGTTGGCTGGGTGTACCTTTGAGTAAACTGAGAAAAAAAAGTTTCTATCGGTTTTGTTCAGAGAGACAAAATACAAGAATAAAGAAAGCAAATACCAAGCCTGATGTGGTGAATTCCTGCTTTTTTTTTTTTTTTTTTTTGAGACAGGGTTTCTCTGTATAGCTTTGGAGCCTATCCTGGCACTCACTCTGTAAACCAGTTTGGTTTCCAATTCACAGAGATCCTTCTGCCTCTGCCTCCCGAGTGCTGGGATTAAAGGCATGCGCCACCACCACCTGAAGGAACCGGCTTCCCTTTTGGCAGCCATAACAGCCGAACATGCTTGCCATAAACCTGCCTTGGTCACTTAGAGGTCAGATGCCTGTCTTGTGACAAGGAACCAATCAGAAGTTAGCTGGTGGCGCTATGCTTTACGACCCTGGGTGTGCTTT